AGGGCTGGATGGAAACTCAGAGCTCAGAGGCAGGTCCAGCAGTGGAACGATGCAGAACGCAAAGACTTCACCCACCCTTCTTGACAGGTGCGAGGACTTCATCTCCAAGAGACCAATGAGCTATCAGCACACAGGCAGTTCCTGCATGGAAAAACAAGTCCGAAAACCACTTTGCTTCCCTGTCCAAAATGGAATCCACAAACCCGGGGTCGGGTTTCTGTAGACTTGTGCCCAAATGCCCTGAGCAGCCTGCAACAAGGAAGAATTAGGGCACAGCTGAAATCCAAAAGGAAAAGGAAACGGGCTAAGATCCATGGGGAACAATCTCTATTTCTTAATCTGTCTCCTGCCCCAAATAGCTCCGCTCTCCTCCCCCACTTGTGTTTACGTGTCTGTTTCTTTCCCTGGCAGCAGATGACACCAGGCCTTAAAGTAGGTCACAGAGGGCGGTGAGGAGCCCACAAAGGCCCTCAGGCCACGTCCTCCCCTGACTTCAGTCCCCAGGCTCCCGGGGCTGGAGTGGCAGAGCACAGACCCAGATGACCCCGTGCTGTCCAAGGCCCCCAGGCAGCGCCGGAGCTCCCTAGAACCCCAGCGCGTGGGGGTTCCTGGGTCCAGCCTGGGAGTGGGCAGGGGGCCTGTTCGGAGCCAACAGCAGAGGGGACAGCACTGGGCTGGGGCCGCAGCCCTGCCAGTCCCATCCTGCCCCTGCCCCTCCAGCCCCTCCTCCCGCAGCCCTGCTCCAGTGCCCTCAGGGAGGCCCATTCTTCCCAGGACAGCCAGGCAGCCACATGGCCCTGCTGTTTTCCCCGGGAAGCCCTGGGGCCCCTTCCACACAGACCCCAGGGCCCAAAGCAGGGCTCCCAGCCCACTCCGGGGGCATCGCTGGTGTGATGGGTAGAATGCAAATTACCGAATCAGAAAACTGGATTTCAGGCCCCAGTCACCTGAGGCACGGGGCGCTAGAAGCTTGCCCAAAATAACCCAGCTGGGAAGCGGCAGAGCTCGGGCCCACAAGGACCCACTGGCACACCCCAAGCCCCCCGCGTCTGCCTCCCTCACGGCCGGACCCCCCGCCCCGATCCTTCAGACCCTCTCTGCCCAGCATCCAGTCCTCACGGCGCCTTTCTCTCCCCAGGTTCTTTCAGAGCACGGCTATGGCCTGCTCATGACCGACATCCGGGAGGGCCAAACCTCCTACTATGCGGAGGAGTACCACCAGCAGTACCTGAGCAAGAACCCCGACGGGTACTGCGGCCTCGGGGCACCGGAGTGTCCTGTCTGCTGTGTACTATGGTCCAAAAATTTAAATGTGGGAGCCCTGGCCTCCAGTGTGGCTGTATTTGGTGATGGGGCCCAATAAGCAAGTAAGCTAGTAATTACAATAATAAAGAAGTGATTAAGGTTAAATGAGGTCATAAAGGGTGAGGCCTTGATGCTGTAGGGTTAGTGTTTTTATAAGAAGAGAGGCCAGAGTGTGTGCTCCTGCTCTATCTCTCTGAATCCCTCCTTCCATGAACACTCCCTGTGGAAGGCCATGTGAGGACACGTTGAAAAGTTGGCCATATGCAAAAGCCTGGAAGAGGGAGGGCCCTCACCAGGAACTGAAAAATCTGGCACCTTGATCTCAGACTTCCAGCCTCCAGAACTGTGAAAATAAATTTCTGTTGCATAAACCACCCAGTCTGTGGCATTTTGTTATGGCAGCCTGAGCAGACTAAGACAGTATTTAAGAATGATTTTCCTGCACAAGGTTGGCCCTTGAAGTCACAGCAAAAAGGCTTTCAACAAACTGGGCAATTCTTTAATGGTTCACATCAGTGGCTTTTTGAAGAGCACAAAGTGTTAAGGCATTTTTTTTTAAGTTTGATTTATAAGGTATAATTTATATTTATTTAGTAAATTCACCTTTTTAAGGTGTACGCTTTTATGAATCCTGACAAATACAAATGGCTGTGTAACCACCACCACAATCTAGATATAGAAGCTCCCCACCCTCCCAAAATAAGTTCCCCTTGTCCCTTGGTAACCCATCCCCTTCTCCAAATCCCGGTCCCTAGCAACAACTGACATGTTCTCTGTGCCTGTTGTTTGTCTTTTCCAGAATGCCATCTAAATGGCATCATACAGAGTGCAGTTGCTTGTTTCTGGCTTCTTCAACTTAGCATAATGCATCTGTGATTCATGTTGCTGCATGTATCTATAGTTTTTCTTTTTTACTGCTGAATAGTGGTGATGCTGTCTGGACCACAGTTTGTTTATCCATTCACCAGATGATGGACATGTAGGGTGTTACCAGTTTTTAGCAATTATGAATAAAGCCACTATAACCATTGTGAGATTTTAGTGTGGACACATGTCTTCATACAGTGGTGTTTTGATAAAGGTGTGAATTCATTTACTGATGTGCTGGGAGATTTGGGGATTCTTTGGGGTCTGAGTGAAAATAATGCATATGCTGTGTTTTCTTGTTCTGGACTCTGAGGCCAGCCATGGAAATGAGGTGGTTAAGCTAAGCAGGATTGTGGGTGACACTGGGAATTCTTTATCTCTGCCCTGTTCGACCTCATATGAACATGCTCTCCAGTACCCCAAAAGATACAAACATTTATAGCTACAATGAAACTCAAATTCATGCTGTTTTCCAAAGAACAGCGGTGAGGAAGCTTTCTCTCCCATTTCAGGCCCCCTCCTGGCATAGAAAAATATGAGCTAAGTGGATGAATTCTGATACTTTGCTTACAGCTATGAGAAGTATGGTAAATGCTTGTTGTGTGAAAAGTCTATACCCAATAACATGAACTAATTTCCTAATATTTCTTCTGCCTTTTGCTTATTCTGACAGGATATTTCCAAGAGTTTTAAAGATAAATTTTAAAGCCTCAAGACAGCCAGGGAAAGAAAAATGCCCATAGTCATTTCCCCTGAAATGGAAATCCGTTATGTATAGAATTTTGGAGAATGTTTACATCTACAGCTCCTTGCCAATCTTTAGTAATAACCCTTGCTCCCCACATACCTGTCACATGCATGGCGATTTCTCATGAGAATTATTCAGTGGCTGCATAGTAGGGAAAACTGTTCAGATTTGAGCTTTATTCAATAAACTGACCTCTGTCTCCTGCTCAAACTTGTACATTATTTCAGCTCAATATTTTAGTGGACCATTTGAAATTGCCAATATTAAGACAATTTTGGAGCTACTAAAACAGCAATTATATATGGTTTAATTTAAAAGTGCCTGTAGGGGGCGCCTGGGTGGCACAGTTTGGTAAGCTGACTTTTGGTCTCTGCACAGGCAGTGATCTCAGCGTGGTGATATCAGGGTCCTGAGATCAAGCCCTGCGTTGGGCTCTGCACTCAGCGTGGAGTCTGCTTGGGATTCTCTCTCCCTCTTCCTCTGCCCCTCCTGCTCATGCTCTCTCTCTATATAAAATAAATAGATAAATCTTGGGGTGCCTGGGTGGTTCAGTCGGTTAAGCATCTGCTTTTGGCTCAGGTCATGATCCCAAGGTCCTGGGATCAAGCCCCACATCAGGCTCCTTGCTCAGTGGGAAGACTGCTTCTCCCTCTCCCTCTGCTCCTCTCCCCCTGCTCCTCTCCCCCTGCCACCTCAAGTAAATAAATCAAATCTTTTTTCCAGAATATTTTATTTTTTTATTTTTATTTTTTATTATGTTAGTTACCATACAGTACTTCATCTTTAAAAAAATAAAAAATAAAGAGATAAATCTTTAAAAAAAATAAAGTTCCTATAGTTCCCGTACACTTTGGTATTTTTGCACATGTTTTCCGCCCATCTAGAATGCCATCATTAGTTTCCTAGGACTGCCATAACAAAGTACCACAAACTGGGTAGTTTAGAACAACAGAAATTTATTGTTTGGAGTTCTGGAGGCCAGAAGTCCAAAATCAAGGTGTCAAGAAGTCATGCTCCCTTGAAAGCACTAGGGAGGGACCTTTTCCAGGTCTCTCTCGTAGATTTGGGCAGTTCCTTGGCTTGTGGCAGCCTAACTCTAATCTTCACATGGCATTCTCCCTCTCTGTGTGTGTGTATATCCAAATTTTCCCTTCTTATAAGGACACCGGTGATATTGAATTAGGGGCCAACCCTGCTCCAGGAAGACCTCATCTTAACTAATTGTATCTACAACATCCTTATTTCCAAATAAGGTCACAATCTGAAGTACTAGGGTTTTGGACTTCAAAAGATGAATTTTGGAAGGACACCATTCAATCCACAACAAAAGCCTCTCTGTCTTTCCCTAATACCCTTTCTCTTTGTAGACTGACTCAGCCCAGACAGAGCTTATTTCCTCTAGAGAATCTTCTCCAATAGCCTCTTTCTGCCACCTACCACCTAAACATGCTCCTCCTAGACTGGATCGGGTACCTCTCTACAGTTCATAGTGATACGCTTACTCCACTGTATTGTTGATGTCTTTGGTCACGTTTCTCTCCCAGATGGATATGAGCTTCTAGGAGACAGAGAACAAATATTGTTCATCTTTGCATCATCCCACAAGCCTGGCATGTAGAAAGTGCTGCATAAAATGCCAGCTAACCTAGTGAACAAATGGATGAACTGCATCAACGAAAGCCACCCTGCATGGAGCTGTACTTCATGTGTGTCTTCTTTTAGACAGTGCTGATCAATGTACCTTCTTTTGCCGGAGCCTGTAGAGATGCAATTAGTAGAGAGAAGACATTAGTAGAGATGATATTAGCAGAGAATTAAAATCATGGGCTTGGTATTTGCCAGGTCCTGTTCTAAGATACACACATTATCTCATTAATCCTCCCAACAATATAATGATGTATTGTTGTTATCGCCATTGTACAGATGAGTAATCTGAGGCTCAAAGTTCAGTAGCTCCCCAAAGATCCCCTTGGTGATGTGAGTTTTCTTCTTTAGGAGTCCGAGGCTATCCTCACTCTGCCGTATCACCTGAGCTGTTTGGACCAGAAGCTTCGGATCCTTTCTCCTGGGGAGTGGCTTCAGCTCTTTTGTCCTGATGCATTAGAGAATCTGAGATGCCTCGACTTACAGGATCCCAACTGGTGTGGAGACCTCTTACTCTCTTGCCTCTGGCCCCCAGTTCCACATCCCAAAAGATTGGCTCATGGAAATCATCAGGTCCTGGGTGCAGGATGCCACTTGGTTGCCTTGTCTGGACCATGACTGCTTCACCCAGTGCCCCATTGTGACCTTGATTGTCAGGCTTTCAGATAGTAGACACAGAGAGCAAAACCAGACTTGGTCCCTCTGAATTGAATCTGCACAGTCTCACCTGAAGGCTTTCCATTGACTTGAGTAAAGACGAGGGCCAATGAAAGGATGGAAAGATGGAAGAGTGGTACTTCTGCTGCCCATCACCCTGCTGCTGCCCTGGGCACATAGCTCCCTAGCACGTAGGTGTCTCGTGGTGTTCTTGTGTCTGTGCCTAACTGGGGCCCTTGCTCTTTGGGGTGCAGGAGGATCACCTGGGGAACTTGTTCAAAAGGTCAAGTTCTAGGATGCTGATTCCACAGTTCTGAGTGGGATCCAGGGAACTGCACTTTTAATAAGCCCCTTAAGTGAATCTCATGCAGGGGGCACCTGGACCAGACTTTCAGATCATTTCTCCCACAACACCTTCAACTTTAAAGTTACATGCCGAGTGTGTGTGTGTGTGTGTGTGTGTGTGTGTGTGTGTGTGTATTTTATGCCTATGTTAGGTCCCAGAATTTTCCATAGTGAATGGCTGATATAAGAAAACCCTTTGAGAGGGGTAACCAGCCATCAAGCTGGAGATGCAACTAGCCATATTCCTGCAGCTTTAAGGCCATGAGTAAGGTTGCTTTCTCTTGGAAAACATTCTGAAGGATCACGTGGAGCCTTACTGGCCTAATGAAAACAATAACATGATATAACTATAATAAAGGCAGTGTATTAATAGCTACTATGGATTCTCCCTGGGTCCTGAGACTTTCTGGAAATTTGTGTTATGTTCAGTCAGTTGTTGGTTGACAAATATTATAAACATCTACCATGGACCAGGAGTTGTTTTAGGAGTCAGTTTATAACAGAGAATGACATATTCGTTTCCTAATCTCATGCAGTTTTACTATCTAATGAGGGGAAGGATGTATTAAACATATAATATGAGTAAATAAGTTAATTTCAGTTCCTATTAATTGATATAAAGCACAAAAATAGGCTTTATATGATGGAAGGCCTATAGGTGGTTGTTGAGACTCTACTAGTAGGTGGTCTCAGGAAGGCTTTCAGGAAACCTCAGGCAGGCTTTGAGATCCATCTGATAAGAAGGAGACATATTTCCAAGCAGATGTGACAGCAAGTGCAAAGGCCCTGAGCAGTGAATGAGCTCAGTATGTTTTGGAGGCACACAGACTGGTATTGCTGGAACAGAATGAATGGGAAGAGGGCACTGAAGAGAGATAGGCTCAGAGGGGCCAGTGGGGCCCAGATCATGCTGAACCTCATAAAGGCACAGTAAGGATTTTGGATTTTATTCTGGTTACAATGGGAAGCCATCAGAGAGTCTAAACAGGAGAGTGAGAAATGAGAGGTACTTGAGGAAGAGAAACTGGCTGCTGCAGAGGATAGTGTGCAGGGACATGAGTGAGTGAGCATGAAGGGATCATGGCCTGGATGGGTTTAGAGCAGGAGGCATGGAGGGAAGGGGTTGGTTTCTGGATATCTTTTGGTAATGCTGACTATCCTGGCTGATGCATTGGACACCAGGAGACAGAGAAGAGGAGGAGTCAGGGATAACTCCCAGATGATATTCTCGCCTAAGCCAACAGATACATATAGGTACCATTTACTGAACTGTGGACAACTTATAGGAAGGAAGATTTGGACTGGGGTCAGGTAAGTTGATAGTTCCATTGGGCCACATTAAATTTGAGGTGCCTCTTAGACATTCTTGTGAGATATTGAGTAGGGCAGTTGGTTAAGAGTTGAGGGCTGAGTGGAGAGGTCTGAGCGGTCAAATGTGAGATCTTCTGTATAAAGATGATATTCGAAGTTATGGCTGGGAGGAGATACCCTAGCTAAAATGCAAAAAGAGAGAAGCGGTCTGAGGACTGAGACTTGGGTTTTAGAAGGGCAGAAGGATTCAGCAGAAGAGCATAAGTATGGCCATTGATGTAGAAAGACAACTAGGAAGTACATTCTCCCACTAAAATTTTGCCCAGAAATGACCCCAGATTTCACCAAGGGTCTTGGGCAAAACCCAGACGCTTTTCTCCTGGTTCCAGACTTAAGTGAAGCCAAATGCCATCCCCCTAAATCAATGTTACATGAAATGTTCATTAACACAGCATGTGTTAATACTTATATTTGTGTTAAAGATGGGGACACTGAAGCTTAGAGATGTTAAATCACTGGCTCCAAGTCACACAACCAGCAAACAGTGCAGCCAACTCAGAACTTCTGACCCAAACCCCACCTTCTTCCCTCTTTACCAGGTGCCCTGCCACACAGGACAGAGCCAGGAAGTTTTCATGCTAAGACCACAGTGCCTTCTGCACACTTGAGTTCTGTCTCTGTAGTCATTCTTCTCTTTCTCCCATAGTCACCACCATATCAGTAGAATCTTTAGGGAGAAAGAATATTTTTCTGAGACACCTGGATAGTATGGGCAAAGAGAAACCACTTTGGACTAAAAAGCTGAAATGAGACCTTCCTATCTTAATCTGCTTGGTCACATCCCTGGGTCTAGATCAATCAGTCACTTGGGAAAAATCTAGAGTCTGAAGTTATTTCATTCAGGTGGGACTTGCAAAGGGACATCTCTGCCCACCCCCCCACCCCGTGGAATTTTGCTCTGTGGTGCTGATGGACCCAAAAATTCATTTCGTTCTCTATCTACAGAAAATAGAGCCCTTTGGGCTCCCAGGGACTCTCTTAAAATTCACAACCACAGGTCTTCTATTTTTCAAGTCAATCCCAATTCTATGTAATTTTCAATAAAGTTGAGCCATTAGCATATGAAAATATGAAAAAAATTACCGTACTTGTATGAGACTTTTCATGTAAATACATGGACATTTCAGTATGCATGATGATTGGCAGCCTGACATCAATATCAAAAAAGCATTTAAAATGTTGGAATTGAAATCATACACCTCTTAAGGAAAAATTAAGAATAAGGAAGCTAAAATATATATTTTATATATAAGAATTTGAATAAAGATGACATTTTACATTAATGTAATTCAAGTAAAAATATTTCCCCCTCACCATTTTGAACTGTAAAAGTACAGTGTTTTAGAACGGAAAAGAACCTTAGAGATAATTTAATTAAATCCTCTAATTTTTTAAAGTTTTTATTTAAATTCCAGTTAATATACAATATAATATTAACTTCAGGTGTACAATATAAGTGATTCAGCACTTCCATACAACACCTGGTGCTCATCACAAGTGCACTCCTTGAGAAAACTAAAGACTCTACAGGTAGCCTGTTCCACTATAGAGAATTCCACAAAGAATATACAAATATTTAATACAAATAATATACAATTGGGTTCCCAGGGACTCTCCTAAACTTCACGTGCATGGATCTCAGATTGTCTAGGTCAGCCTCAATTCTGTGCAAATGCCAACAAAGTAGAATATAACTATATGGCAGAATTTTTATACTTCTGTAAGATTTTTCATACCACCCTGCAGTTTCTACCCGCTGATGGTGGACCTGAACAACCCTGATGTCTCATCTTTAAGAAAATCCTGCAAGAGTCTGAAGGCCTGAGTCTTCTTTCCTTTCATGTTTCTTATAAGGTTTCTTATGTTGGCCACTCATCTCTGAATAGACTCCATTTGTTAATGTCATTCTTACCCGTGTGGCTCTAGACTGACAACCATTCAAATGCTGCCGTCTATGAGGCAGAGAGCTTACCAGTGATGTCATGTTGTCAGCATTTTATGGTTGATATTTTCATATGAAAACTTCCAACCTCCCTTCACAATCTAGAGCTTTGGATCTATTATTTTTCTACCTGGAGTTGCAAGTCTATTCGTTATTGAGTTTGATATTGATGGTTCATGCCCAGGATTCAGATCTGGCCAGATAATTTTCTATCTCAATTCTGTAATCTGTAATAGTAGTTCTTGCTCAGTTTCATGTCATGCATTATTGTGTACTTTTTCCCCAAGTTTAAGATGACTTTTTACCCATTTAAATTTTAAAGGTATCTATTAGCACTAGCCTGGTTTGGTATCCTACTGCCAATCCAACACCCCCAGACCTTCAGCAAAATCTACTGATAGATCATAGTCCCTTTTTCTGTTGAGCTTAGATGCACCTTTGGACCTGTTTTACATAGAGGACTGCTGATAGCCACTGCCCCCCAATCAGACTTAGCTCTCCAGGTGAAATCTTTTCTCTACCTCACTCCAGAATTGCAGGTACACACAGATTTGAAGATCAATGCTTTGGATATAATGTCTCAATCTGTTTGATGTTAACCTTAGAGAGCAATCATCAAATCACATACCATCATTTTAGCCAAATAAGAGTCTCAAAGAATTGAGCAGAGGCTTTGTTGAAATATAGACATACCATGAAAGTTATGGGCAAAAAGAATAGATAATTAGACTTCAGAACCAGACACACCTGACTGAAAAATCCCTGTCTGTCTCATACAAGCTAAATAATCATGGGCAATCACATGACGTCTCAGAGATTATTTCTTCATCTATAAAATGGGAATAATAATAAAACATATCTTAGAGGTTTGCTGGGAATATTAAATATCTCACATGCACAATGCAGAAGCTGACTCATAGTAGGTGCTCAAAAAGTAGTAGTTACTATGTCGTAAAAGACTGATATATTAGGAATTTTTAACTATGAATCTAATCTGACTCCCAATCATCAGTAATTTTGTTTAAACTTTCATAAATTATTACTTTATTTAAGTATTTAGAAAATTTCCCAGAGATCCAACTTGCTTTATTGTATATTAATTCTAAGATTTCCTTGTTGGCCCTGAAAACTCAACATTTCCATCGGCGATTGGGGTGCAGGGCCCTTGCTGTGTGTGGTGTTCCACTGGGAATGCCAAAACATCTCCTTTGACAGGAGCAATGTGGGTGAAGCAGATATTCCTGGGCACCAGCTCCTTATTCTCTCTTTGCATCTTCAAATGAAATGACACCTCTATGGGCCACTTACTGTCCCCCTGCCCAAGGCTTTCTGATTTAGGAACTCAAAGGACAGCCGACTCTGTAGGTATGAACTAAGGTCCCTCAATTCCTGATAACCTGTACAGGTCATTAGTAGGTCAAGGATTTTACCACTGATATTAAGACCTTTACTTCCCACCCCGTCCATCCATCCACCCATCCATCCATCCATTCATTTATTCATAAGTATGTATTGGGTTTCCACCATGTACTAGTCTCTAAGATAATGGGAATATGAAAATTAGCAAAACATGCAACATGCCTTCTGCCTTCATAGAGATTAGAATTTAATGGAGGAAATAGACTTCAGCAGTTTCACAAATACATAATTTCTGTTGTTAGTGTTCTGAGTGGAAGGTAGGTGTCAGAAAAGAAAGTTATACTGAGGGTAGGTTATGTAATCTTGAAAGGCAAGGAAGATTTCTAAAAGAACTTTATAATTGAGCTAAAATGTGAAGGATACACAAGAACTAAACAGGCAAAGAGGGGCAAGACAGATGAGGGAGGAGCCTGTCTTTCTGGCAGAGGCATGGGGAAAAGTTCTGAGATAGGAAAGAGCAAGGTACTTCTGGGGAGCTGAAGGGCCAGGAAAATTGGAGGAGAGACACCCAAAGGCAGAGATAAGCAGTAGCAGTGCCGGTGATTGGCAGTGGTTGTGGTAAAATGTGGTAATAATGAGTGGTGTGATGGGGGTGACATCATAAGGACATGTGGTGGTGAGGTTGTATGTTATGTTGTATGGTGGCAAGGTTGTGTGGTTGTGAGGTTGTGTGCTGTGGTGACCTGTGATATGGGGACATGTGGTGGGGATATGTAGTAGTAGGGTTGTGTGGTGGCGGGGTTGTATGGCTATGGTGATATCTGGTGATGGTAACATGGATGGTCGTGATGTGTGGTATGGAGATGGTTTGAATAGACATACCTTTCATATTATACTTGTCTGTGGAAATTTTTGAATGTCATTGTCTTTTCTCCCCATGCATAAACATGCTTAACAGTTAGAAGGCCTAGTGGTAATGAAAACAGACTCTGGAACCAGATTGCCTAGGTTCAAATCTTAGCTCAGTTGTATATTAGCTTTTGGGTCTTGGCCAGATGTCCTAAGCTTTAAACTTGCCTTTTTGGCTCACCTTTAAATTGGGGCAATAATAATTTCAGTTATCTCATGGAGTTTACGTGAGAATTAAATTGTTTTATGCAAAACAAAATGGTGCCTGGCAAGTAGTAAGCACTCAACATTTTAGATTTTATGATATTTATTTTTCTCATTACTCAAATGACATTTGAAAGACACCAAAAGATCTCAAAACAATCCTATCACATAGGAAATGCCAAAAGTTTTATTCCTTTTAAGGTGCAATTGGAATGCCTAGAATTAAATTAAGCAAAAAACGGTGCCACTAATCACAATAGGAAATGCAGGAGAGCGAGCAATCAGTTAGGAAGGGAGGGGCTGATCACTTTCCCTTTGCCTGTAGAATTTCTGATGTTTGTGTCATCCAGGTATAGAAGTTGAAAATATGAGTACAGAGCTAAAAAGGATTTTATGGTCCATGTAAAGACACCATACCATGGTCCTATTTCAAATAAATGAATACTCCCATTTGGGCTTCCTTACTGAGAGGCAATAACAAGATCCAGCTCCAGGGTTTGTGGTTGTGTCTCCTTCCCACAAGCCCTCAGAGAGAGACCCTTCTAAAAAGCAAAGCTATGGTGAAGGAAGGAGTCATTGTTCCCCCATGAGCACAATATACAATTTTGATGCCTTTCATAGGCACTAGGAAGCATCATTCTTGTTTGATGGATCTCCCACCTGGTGTTAACCTGGCTAAGCCATCGCTATCTATGTGCTGGGGAGGCCAGAAGAAGGGGGCACTGTATTTAAGTTTCTTTCAAGCCAACCAACCTTGACTGTTGGGCTCTGGTTCTCTTGTCCCTCTTCCTTCTTTTTGCTTTTAGTGACATGTGGCCAAAGAAAAAGTAGCAAACCTGAGAAATCAGAAACTTTGGGAATCATAGGTGGGGAACCTGCAGACCTCACAGATTTTCCATGGCAGGTGAGTATTCTTTACTACGGGAAACATCTCTGTGGAGGATCAATCCTCAGCATGTGGTGGATTTTAACTGCGGCCCATTGCTTCATAAACAGAAGTAGGTAAGTATTCCAAACAGATTTTTTTTTTTTAACCAATGTGGTAGAATATTTGTCCTTACATGTTTATTATTCTCCTGGAAACTCCACCCAGGTTTGTCAGTCACCAAATGAAATACCAGGAGGTTAACTATATGCCCGTGTGACTGAATACCAGACTTTGCAGGTGGTATAGATGCTGTTCTCCTCCTAGGATGTTTTACATCTTATTTCATGGGACCCAAATGGCAGAACAAGTATTCTTTGGACTTCTCAGCATCTTGCCAAGTGCATGTGGTCCTGGTCCAAACCTTTGGAAAGTACTTCCCTAAGTATTTGCTATTACTTGGGGTGAAAGTAAGCTGACACTGACCACAGAGTCAGACTCCTAGAAGGGATTGGGACCCAAGGGCAGGGCAGCAGACCTGGTTGCATGACAGGAGTTCCTGAGGTGCTATCTTAGCTCAAGTCCATACATCAGTATTTTTGAGAAACTTCCCAGGTGTTTCTTAGTAGCTAGTCCACCTCTTCTTGCAAATCAATATCAAGTCCCTCAATGACATGTGCATAGCATGACTTTCAGACATCTATTAATAAAATTTACAAGTGAATTTGCCCACAAAGCCATCAAGGCAAAAGCTGGTTGGCAACAGGACAAGACTGGAACTCTGGTCTGTCTTTTTCTGCCCAGTCAGGGCCCAAGTGCATGGTCCCAGATGCCTCCATCCCTCCAGCTCTCAGGATCACAGTCTCACACTGGTGGAATTATTTTCTCTTAAGGCCCACCTTTTTAACCCTTCCACCACTTACCTTTTTTTCTCCTCCTTTTTTTTTTACATAAGATCTGGCTTGGAGATTATACATAGTGAAAGAAGCATTGGCACCAAGAACTCAAAGAGGATGAAAGTGGACAAGCTAATTACTCACCCTTATTTTGACAGCTGGTTCTTGGATAATGACATTGCTTTGCTCTTGCTCGAATCTCCTTTTAAGTTGGATGCCCAGAAAGTACCCATCTGCCTTTCAGAGGTCACTGACATAGAGAGATGGCGAAACTGCTGGGTGACTGGATGGGGTATTACCAGTGAGTTACTATAGCCCAACCCAGTGGGGGATGGCAACCTGGTTGATGTTTACAATGAGAAAGTAAACTCTGGAGGCTCTGCTAGCTCTGGGAAGTCTACCTGGTGGGTTTGGAAACTTCCAGTTCTCATTTAAAGATCCACGATGAACCTTAATCTCAGTCCACATGTGAGTCATTCTTCCTTGGCCTTCTTGGGCTCCTGTAGCAAATTTTATGTCCACATTATAGAACACAAACCCTAAACAGGGCCTCAGTGATAACCCAGGAAGAAGTGTTCAGAGTCCAAGGGTGACTTGGAGGAATTTTGAGGGACATGTTGATGGGCAAAGGGGTGGCAAAATGGACTGGGCTCCAAGAAGTCCACACTAATGTCAGCAGAGCAGCTCTGTTCCAATTGATGGTGTCAGTTCTCCTCCCCTATAACAAAGGGCTTGGTGGCCCAAATATTTGAAAACCACTGATCCAGGCCAAGGAGAAAGGGATAAACTGAATATAAATTTGTCCTTATAGAGTCAACCTGTAACCTGCACCCACCATTTTGCCCGACCAACTCATAAAATGGTGAAATTTTGTCATTTTTCTCGGTAAATGTGTCTTACTCCAAAATCTAAAGAACAGAAAAAAAAATTCCAGTCAGTGCCATTCTTCTAAGTAGGCGCACAAATGACAATACATTGATTCCTACATGGTCCCAAAGCTCAGAGCTGTTTTAGAATTCCTCATGGGGAATTACCCTTGAAGGCTTTTCGTGAACTCCAAAAAAGGCCACCTTCTTAATTTAGGGTTCCTCTTGTGTCAGTCAGCACATATTTATTGATCCTCTTCCAGGCAGTGTTCTGGGCTCTGAGAATTCAGCAATACACACAAAAGGAAATATCCTCATCTGCGGAGAATAAACATTCTAGGTGTTAGGTTCACCTCTTAGATAGACACTGAATTACTCAAAGGCTCTGACATGATTCAAATCCATCTTTATGAGCCATGGGCCCCAGGACAGAACTTGCAGAACTTGTCATCATGGGTTTTCTTTACTTTCTTATGGATTTAAATGAAATACCTTTTTGGGACCATAGATTTGACACCTTCTGCAGAGTGAGAAGGCTACACTTAGGCGGAGATCCAATAGAGACCCAGTTGTGGGGAGCTCTAGATTCAAAGAGGATGGGCTTGAGAGTCTCCTGAACACCTCTCCATCCTGTCCTCACTAAGTCCAAGTTTGGGTAGTTCTCTGAGCCATACGGTAGTTCCTTTGTCATTGAGGCAAAAAGACATGATGGGGAGTGGGTGCTTCACCTCAACCCAAAGGGATCACTTTGAGCTCAGGGGTCCTCTCCCTATCTGCTTCTTCTTTGGGTCAGTTCCTATGCAAAGTACAAGTCAACAGCTGAACAAAGTCAACATCAACTTGGTCAAACGGGAAATGTGCTCCTCTGTTATGCCTGTGCTCACCAAGAACATGTTGTGTGCTGGGAACACTCAAGAAGGGAAGGACTCCTGCCAGGTAATGGAGCTTGTCCCTTGCTTAGAGAGGGACTGCCACAGAGGGCTGGTCAATATTTCCAGGATAATTGCTCCCCTCTTCCCCTTCTGGATAAGTTTCCTAAAGCTACTGTAACAAATTATCACAAACAGGGTGGATTCAAACAACAGAAATGTATTCTCTTATAGTTCTGGAGTCTGAATCAAGGCATTGGTAGGGCCATGCTCTCTTCGGAGGTTCTAAGGGAGGATACCTCCTGGACTTTTCCTGCTTCTGGTAGTTTCCAGCAATCAGTGGCATTACTTAGCTTGTAGATGAATCACTCCACTTTCTGCCCACATCTTCACATGGACTTCTCCCCTGTATGTGTGTCTCCTATTTTCTCTTCTTATAAGGATTTCAGTTGTTGGATTAGGACCCACCCTAATCCAGTAGGACTTCATTTAACTTAACTAAATACATTTGCAAAAGTCCTATTTCCAACTAAGCTCACATTCTGAGGTTCCAGGTAGACTTGAATTTGAGAGGGATGCTATTCAGCCCAGTACAGATGCTCTGTAACCAAAGGGAGACTGTGTGGGATAGTGGTTAGGGGTGCAGTTTCCTTTAGCTTCCCTCTTAGCTCCTCTACTTATGGCCTGTGAATTCCCTCTATGCTTGTGCTTTTTCAAATTTCCTCATCTGTAAAATGGGAATATTAAGAGTTCCTACCTTCTAGGACTATTGTGAAAATTAAGTGAGTCAATGCATAAAACAGCACAGAGCAGAGGATGGTCATAGTAAATTCTATAAATACAATTTTCTCCATCACCATCTTTTATACCTGTTCAGTGCTTAATAAAGTACAAACAACTTCCACAAATACACAAAAGGGTTGCAAACTAGCCCTAGGAAGCAGGCTTATTTCAGATGAGGAAACTGAGGATTAGGGAAGCCGACAGAGGACGTGCTGGCAAGTTAAACTACAGACCCAGAATTCTAATGTCTTCCGAGATCGGAGCCATCTTTTGGGTTCCGGTAGAAACAGGGGCTCCAAATCCATCAGCCCAGCCTGGTCATGCCCAGACTTGGCTAGTTCAACAGCCACAGAAATGCCAGGAACTGCTATTGAGTACAGACTTGCCAGATGGCAGGGCAGTACAGGGCTTCACAGCTGTCGTTTCCTTCCATCCACACAGTATTGCAGGAAAGGTAGTTATTATCACCAGCATCAAAGCCAAACACTAAATGCTGAAGAAAAATTTCACATTCTCCCAGCTAAATTCTCCCCCTGGAGTATGAACCAAGATCTGGGGCTTCAGAAATAGAAGATCTTAACTGTACTGCTGTTCTGCCTGACATCCTTCACATAGATCCCCTCACCCCACAGAAGAAATTGTAATTCTTCATTTTATTTTATTTTTTAATTTTATTTTATTATGTTATGTTAGTCACCATACAATACATCATTAGTTTTTGATGTAGTGATCCACGCTTCATTGTTTTTGTATAACACCCAGTGCTCCATGCAGTACGTGTCCTCCTTATTACCCATCACCAGGCTAACCCATCCCCCCACCGCCCTCCCCTCTAGAACCCTCAGTTTGTTTCTCAGAGTCCATAGTCTCTCATGGTTCATCTCTCCCTACGATTACCCTCCCTTCATTTTTCCCTTCCTTCCCCTAATGTCCTCCATGCTATTCCTTATGTGCCACAAGTAAGTGAAACCATGTGATAATTGTCTTTCTCTGTTTGACTGATTTCACTCAGCATCATCTCCTCCAGTCCCATCCATGTTGATGTAAAAGTTGGGTATTCATCCTTTCTGAGGGCTGAGTAATATTCCATTGTATATATGGACCACATCTTCTTTATCCATTCATCTGTTGAAGGGCATCTCGGCTCTTTCCACAGTTTGGCTATTTCGGACATTGCTGCTATGAACATTGGGGTGCATATGGCCCTTCTTTTCACTACATCTGTGTCTTTGGGGTAAATACCCAGGAGTGCAATTGCTGGGTCATAGGGTAGCTCTATTTTTAATTTTTTGAGGCACCTCCACACTGCTTTCCAAAGTGGCTTTACCAACTTGCATTCGCACCACCAGTATAAGAGGGGTTCCCCTTTCTCCACAACCTCTCCAACATTTGTTGTTTCTTGCCTTGTCCATTTTTGCCATTCTAACTGGTGTAAGGTGGTATCTCGATGTGGTTTTGATTTGAATTTCCCTGATGGCTAATGATGATGAACATTTTTTCATATGTCTATTAGTCATTTGTATGTCTTCTTTGGAGAAGTGTCTGTTCATGTCTTCTGCCCATTTTTTGACTTGATTATTTGTTTTTTGGGTGTTGAGTTTGAGATGTTCTTTATAGACCTTGGATACAGAATGGGAGAAGATATTTGCAAATGACACTACAGATAAAGGGCTGGTATCTAATTCTTCATTTTAAAGAAAGGTCAGGGGACTTTCCAATGACCTCAAGGAATCTGGTAAAGAACAGTTTGGTTCAAAGTTAGTTGATGGGCACAGCGATTTGTTTATGATAACAATCGGGTTTAGAAAAAAATCAAATAAACCCATATCCTGTTTGCTTTGTTTTATTTGTTTTAGATTTGGGTTTTTGGCATATTATTGAATGGTGCTTCTTTTCAACTTTTTTGTGTGTCACTTAATATTTTCAAAAATAAATCTTTGGTAAGCTGTGAAAAAATATGTACCACCTGATCCTATTTCTGTAAAATAACAATGATGTATTCATATTTGCATACTCAAGGCTGTGGACAATTTTATTTGACTAAGGGGTTGCCTCTGCGTGGCTAGAATTATAAATGTTGTTTATTTCGTTTATTTATTTGAGTACATGGTAGGGAAAATTCAAATGTTATAGATGGATATACAGTGAAAAGGAAGTTTACCTCTCACACTTGTCGTCCTTTTCACTCCCCAGAGAAACCATTTTTATCATGTTACCTTATCTTTCCTGAAATATTCTTTTCATATACAATCATATGTGTGTTTATATATAAATTTACTTATTTATATAATTATGGGTATTCTGCATGTTCTTTTTCCATATCTGAGATATCTAATTTTCTTTGATGAAGATACATAATTTTTAACAGAATTATTAAGTCACAGAGATGAAAAGTATAGCATATGGAATATAGCGAATAGTGTTGTAATAACATTGCATGGTGACAGAGAGGAACAACACTTATGGCATTGTATAATACATAGAATCATCAAATCACCATATGTGCACCTGAAACTAATATAACATTGTATGTCAACTATACTTAAATAATAAAAGTGTAAAATAAAGAAATAGCCCCCAAATTTGGGGGCATTGAAAGATTGTGTGTTCCTCAATTTTCTTGTCAATGATGTCCATTCCCCTTATTTGTGCTTGTTTGGCAATCTTTTTCATGATGCTTTAAAATTTGTAAAGTGTTTCAAATTTAATGTTTTAAACCACAACATAACATTTTGACTCACTTTTTGTACCTTTTGCATCTTGTATATATCAGTTTGTGCACTTACTGTATTCAACCGATTACCTATTATGAGGCATAGTGGATTTTTGTTTTTGTTTTTTACTTTTTGCTATTATGAACAATATAGAAAGACTAAATTGGTTGGCTGAAAATAGATTTAAAGAGGCAGTGAGAAAATTGTAAGAATTCTGAAAAACAATGAAAAGTGCTTAGAGGCAAAATGGATTACAAAACCACTTCTTGGTACATCAAAATGAACCCATGCAACTAGATGATAATGATTTTGATGGATATTCATTTTTTTAATCAAACTGTCATTCACTGCCATTGCTTTTGACCGAATGGTTTGCCACTTTGTCTGACAGTCATGGGGCTGGGAGTATAGTCATGTAGTTGGAGAGCCTAATCAACTGTCCTCTCATCAAAAGACACTATAAATGCTTTTTGCCTTGTGCCAGTTGCCCACACCTCAATAGGCTATAGAAGGAATTTGCTATTGTCCCTTCCACTCCCAAACAACTTTTCTCTCCTAGGGTGACAGTGGAGGGCCTCTGGTTTGCCAGAAAAAAGACAACCAAAGCATATGGTACCAGGTGGGCATTGTCAGCTGGGGAGAGGGCTGTGGCCGGAAGAAAAAGCCTGGAGTGTATACGAAGGTGTCTAATTATCTGTTATGGATTAACATGGAGACCACGCTGTCAGGAAGGCCCTACATGCATGAGCCAGACTCTGGGTACAGTTTGCTTCAATCACCCTGGGCCATCTTGTTACTGTATTTTGTGATACTTCTATTACCTCTGTGATTAAAAACTGTAGCGCCTCAAAACCAAGCGTCCTCGGTTTTTGGAGTAAGGTTAAAGGTGGGGTGCAAGGGATTCTCATAGTTTTAGTTGTGCCTGAAATAGTCATATACCCATAGGAGTGCTTATGATACACCTGCGACCTACTACACAGCCGATTGTTCCCTTGGAACTTGGAGGCAGGCTACCAATTTCAGCTTGAGGCCTCTCCAGAGGTGGGGATGGAGTACCTCTGCTTGCGGAGGGGCATGCCAAGGATCTCTGAAACAGAAATCCTATTCTTTTCCCTCCTATAAACAGATATCCTTCCACAAATTCTTTCATTTTCCAAAGGAGTAGACAGTTCCCCATTGTGCCGGGGGGGGAGTCTTGAAATAACATTCCAACTTTTCTCTCTCCCCTCATTTGTAGCTAATCCCTGAGACCTACAGATTTTGTCTTCAGAAAGATACTTTTCTTCACCTTCTTTTGCTTCCATAGCTATCACCGGGTCGAGAGCCCCATTAAATACTGTTTTGGGCTCTCAGAGATCATGTGGAACAATGCTATGATTCAGGATTAGGAAATCATTGAAGTAGAAACGTCCTAGAGATTAGATGGGAAAGAAACACATAGCTAAATGGGTTATAGTAGTCAAGGCACCTTTGCATGCAAACATCAGAAACAACCTGAAGCAAAAAGAAAATGATAAATATATTGGGGTAGCACAAAATCAAAGGAATTACTTTTCTAGTAAATGGCTGTCTAAAAGTTTGACAGTCCAAGACTACATTTTGGACCATCTGAAAGAGTGGATGGACCCTCCATCCTTCATCCAATCACCCACGAGCATAATTTTTCCAACCAGACAAGAGGTAATAAGTGGCATTCTTTTCTGAGGCAACTCAGCACATTTTTGAGGAGAGAAGGAGAAGCCATACTCAAAAAGATGGGTGTTTTTATATGAGTTTGCCTAAAGTAGAATTCCTTGAGCTGTGAGTAGCAACAACAAAATAAAACAAAAATGTGAAATCTGTTCTGCATATACATAGTGAAAGGGAAGAAAAGAGGATGAAAAGAATTTCTCTGTGCTGGTTCTCATTGGCTGCATCAGAACAGGATAGCTTGGCCACCAGCTGAATCTAGAGAGTGGGTGAAGAAGCATTTCAGTAGATGAGAGCAGGGAGAATCAGTATGTAGTTGTTTTGCCAAAACTGCTGAGCTACCCCAAACTTTTGATTATTGGTAAGCAGGGAAATACAGCTACAAGCAGATGAGTAACTGTTGCTGAGAAAGGTAGGTTTATAAGGATTTCCTCTTTTTCATGAAAGAAGCAGCAGTGACAGCAACTCGGCCTTCAACTTGGCCTTCAGAGGGCAGAGGCTGGGAGAGACTGAGAAGCCACAATCCTGTGCCCTCAGCTCAGGGCAGAGGTTAACAGAGAAGCTGAAAACAGCCTGGCCCCTCAGCCAGGATCCTGTGAAAGGGAGTGTGTGCAGGAAGGGGGCTGCTTTGACTCCATTACAAAGCATGTTATCAAACTTTCTGACTTTTGCCAATCCTGCAAGGAAGAAATAAGAGCTCAAACTAGTAACTTTTTTCCTCAAATTGAGGTATAAATTACATAGAGAAACATACCCAATTGCTTATATATTGAGTGTGTGCCCTTTATCAGACGTATATAATTTCATTTATTATTTATTCAGCTTATATTTATTTATTCTGCTTTAACATTTAGGTCTATGATCCATTTTGAAATAATTTCCATGTATGATGTGATATGGTTCAAGACTCATTTCTTCCATATACACAGCCAATTAAGTTGAAAAGACCTTCTTTTAACCCATTGAATAGCTTTGGTGTCTTGGTCTAAATCAACTGACCACAAAATATAAGTGTGGGCCTATTTATGGGATTGTTTTTGTTGTTGTTGTTGTTGTTTGTTTGTTTTTTGCTGTCCTAGATAGTCTAGAATTAGATGTCTGATTTGGGTTGTATTTGATATCTGATCTTGATGGCTTTGTTACCACTTGAAAATAGGATACAGGTAGTCTGTAGCATGTACTCATTTAATTATAACCTATAGTACCTTAGAATGAATTAGCTATTGAAAGGAAGGTTTTGGCAGGCCAAATTGCTGTTGCAATTAACCATTATAATAGAATGAGAAATACAAAGGCCATGGGGGTAGCCTAACTGCTTAAAAAAAAGCTTAAAGAAACTAGTAAACTCAGGGTTTTAGGTTTGGGGCTTAAGGCATAGTCAAAGACCCAGAGTGTCTATATCTGCTATACGAAAAATATCTTCTTTCTTGTAGCTGCAGAGCCAATGTAGCCAAAATTTAAGTCCCCGATCTAACGCTACTGGTTGCTTAAATACAGTATAAATTGAATGCACAGCCTCTATAGGTCTCTCATACAAAAGATAGAACTAGGGGAAGAGTAGAAACCTGAAAATTGAAATCAGATATTAGGCTGGATTTATATGCACCTATTTTTAAATGGAGGTATTATAATCATTATTCACATATGGTGAAGTCAACGGATCAGGAGACAACTGTCATTGAAAAGATAGTATGCTACAGGTTGGAAGAAGAGAGGGCACAACACACTATGTGGGACCACATGGGAGAAGCATCAGGATTGGTAAAGATGCAGAAGGAGCAAAGGGAGGAGGTGGGAAAGAGCCTTTATTGTGGTTTTGCAGGAAGGAATGAGAGAAGCAGGCTAAGCAAGCTAAGCAGGTTTGGAATGGGCTAATTTGAACAATTTCAGCAGGTTCTGGGATGTACGGACTGCCTTTAATTAACTGATGCTTGGTTCTGAGGTGATTAGGACAGAATGGTTGTGGTTCAGGGTATGAGGGTTCAATAAAGGGGCATGATTAATACAGTGTCTGAGTACTTTGACCTCACATATTCCACTGAGTCTCACTTGCTAGCAGAAAAATCCTTCCTTTCTGACAACTCCAGCCATCTTCTGACTGAAAGTACTGTAATGACCTCACATGAGCAGTGACCTTATAAAGAATGCTAATTTTCCTCTAGACTCAACCCACCAACTCTCACGACCTCCAGGTTTCTAAATATAGTTTAGTTTCATAGTATCCCACAGGAAAAAGTACAGAAATTGGATCTGGGAGGTCATTAAACAACAAAAGGGTGGCAGAATTTTGCTAGCATATTAGAATAAAGCTACAAAATATTGTTAAAATGAAGTCTAAAGGGGAGCCTGGGTGGCTCAGTCGGTTAAGCATCTGCCTTCGGCTTGGGTCATGATCCCGGAATTCTGGGATCGAGCCCCACATCGGGCTCCCTGCTCAGCGGGGAGCCTCTTTTCCCTCTGCCCTTCACCCACTCATGCTCTCTCTCTCACTCTTGCTCTTTCTCAGATAAATAAATAAATAAATATCTTTAAAAAAGATGAAGTCTAAGGGTGCTAGAACAGGAAGGAATGAATGTAGCACCAGATTGGGCCAAATTTTTCAATATTGTTAACTCACCACAAATTCTGGATTCAATAAACTGGTTTTAACACTTGGGAGTGGCTCTAATAGTCTCCTTGGTTGGTTTAAAGGGGCCCACATTAGATGTTCCATTGACAGATGAATGGATAAAGAAGATGTGGTATTTATATACAATGGAATACTACTCAGCCATCAAAAAATGAAATCTTGCCATTTGCAATGACATGGATGGAACTAGAAGGTATTATGCTAAGCAAAATAAGCCAATCAGAGAAAGACAATTATCATATCATTTCACTCATATGTGGAATTTAAGAAACAAAACAGAGAAACATAGGGGAAGAGAGGGAAAAATAAAATGATGAAATCAAAGAAGGAGACAAACCATAAGAGACTCTTAATCATAGGAAACAAACTGAAGGTTGCTGGAGGGAAGGGGCGAGGAGGATGGGGTAACTGGATGGTGGGCATTAGGAGGGCACATGAGCACTGGGTGTTATATGCAACTGATGAATCACTAAACTCTACCTCTGAAACTAATAATAGACTATATGTTAATTAATTGAATTTAAATATAAAAATTAAAATTAAAAAATAAATAAAAGGGGCCCACATTAAATAAAGCAGTCATGTCAGAAATTCTTTGTTATATTGAAGAGAAAGTGATACAAATTTTTAGGGAGATATGAAGTTGGAACAGATTTATCATCTTAATCTGTTCACTCACTCTCCCCATTTCCCATAAGAAGGCTCAAAAGCACTTCTTTCACCAAAGCATTAAAAATACATCAATGAGGGGAGGATCAATGTTGAAGTGGTTCTCTGCCTACCAAAATTATGTTTTCCCTTCCCTATTGTAGAGTGACATTAGAAAGTGGCTCTGCCCATCTAGAACTTGCATTTCATGCCCCCTTTACATATAAGCAAGACCATATGACTAATTTTCAACATTGGAATTTGAGCAGAATTCGATGTGGTCTCTTTTAGGGCCAAGGCAGCCCAAAGGTGGATATTCTTTGTCCATTCTCTCTTTCTCCATATGCTAGATTAATAGAGGACTCTGGAAACCTGGGGATGAGAGAACCACAAGGCAAATGCAGGCTGAGTCCCTGGATCAGCATATGGAAGAAAGCAAGCATTAAATAAGAATGTCAACATCAGAATGTGAACTTGAACAAAAAATAAAATGTATCAGATCACTGAAATGTTGAGTTTGTGTTATGGCAGCTAGTATTATCCTACTTATCAAATCCAGCATATCTGATACACTGTCAAGTAATTGTCTTCTGAAAACTGGGGATGCTGAGGTTGAAATGGGCTCCTCTAATTAATATAGGAATGAAATCATCCTGGAAAGTAGAGCCACCAAATGGTCAGAAGTATGATGCACATGGCAACTATGGTAAGCAAAAGGACTAATAAAATCACTGCAGTGATTTGACCAGCAGAGATCTTTGGCAGTGGTCACTAATGTTGGGATCTCCTGGACTGAAATAAGGCCTACTAAGGTCTTAATTGATCTGTGCAACCAGAAAACAAACAACTACATGCGATGAATAGACGCCACCTTGAATCACAACAGTGGAGAGTTACCTCCCTCACCCACTTTTCTGAGCTGAGCCAATTCAGAGGTGTACAGTCCTTTGAGTGAGCCAAAGGCTAGGGCCCTTTGAGGAAGGACTTTATACCTCTGCCATAATATGTAATCTTCTAGTCATTTCCAAAGGCACCTGCAGCTATTTACTAAGATTACTGTGCAGTGGATGAGGAAAAGACTGAGACTGGTGGAAATATTGAACACATGACTCTGAGATGATATTAAACTCTTGGTACTCAAAATGCCACTGTGGTCCACTAGAAAATATGGGGCTCATGGGAGTCATGTGATAAAAAGAGTGATGGCCTCAGTCCATGTGACAGTGATCCTCATGGCTCTGCAAATCATTTCAGTATATGGAACCATAGTGGAGAACTGAAAAGAGTATAAACAGGGACTAAGAGCATAAAACTGAGGTGGTTACAATTGTAGTAAAATGGTCTCAATTCCCCAGGGGACCCTCTGAAGAACTATTTAGAATAATTCTCAGAACTGTCCCTTTAATTACTAGAATCTAGAAC